AGAAGAAGAAGAAGAAGAAGAAGAAGAAGAAGAAGAAGAAAAAGAAGAAGAAGAAGAAGAAGAAGAAGAAGACCTTTTTCCCGAATAAGGGCAAACGTTACGATTCATTTTAGAACAAATCGACTGAATCTGACTGAACTTGATAGTGAATTTCAAAATCAAACGCTTTGGCTTTTCAAAGTCGCGAACTGAATTGGTCCGTATCATGCCTGAAAAGTGGTTTTGCTCCTTTATGGTGAAATATCTGGCTCGGCCCGAATCTGTTATTCGACTGAATTCGACCGGCAGTGTGCACTAGATATAATGGAGCCTAGTGGACAGGGAACTGGGCCTATAAACGTGAGATTAGGGGTTCGAGCGTCAGCTCAGTCTGACTAGGGAAAGACATTTTCCACGAATTTCCTATAAGGCTCGGTCCTTTCGGAGACAGCTGTACGTTAAACTCGAGGTTCCGTCTCTTAAATAACCTAATAAGTGTTGATAAAGGTGTAAAACGAATATAATTTCCAGTGGTCCTTGGGTATAAGTGTACATACGGCAGAGATTGCAGAACTTGCGACACAAAGTTGGCGCCAATTTGTTGTAACACATGGTGGGGTCACAGGTCAAGAGGTCATGGCAGGGCTCCTTCAGAAACGCCTGAAGTGGACTCAAAGTCGTCGTCGTCGTAGGGATGGGCGTGGTTGTAGTTGTGGGGGTCGTTGTTGGTGTTGTTGTTGTTGTTGTTGTCGTTGTTGTTGTTGTCGTCGTCGTTGCTGTAGTGGTAGTGGCGGTGCTGGTAGTAGTTGTTGGTTTTGGCGTCGTCGTCGTCGTCGTTGTTGGTATTATTTTGGTAGACGCTGTTACTAAGAAAGGGAGATGACATGGAGGTGAGCTGTACAAGCGGGAATGTAAAAGGCGGGGAAATCATGGAAACAGCTTGAAAAGGATGCACAGGACATGCTTCGCTGGAGAAATGTTGTTGATGGCCTATGCTTCATTGGGAGTTAAAAAGGCCACTCTTAAAACGAGTGAAGTTGATAATGTTAAAGAGTATGTACAGACAGATAAACATACAGACAGATAGACAGACAGACAGACAGACACACACACACACACACACACACACACACACACACACACACACAATATATA